TGCTGAAAAGCTTTATCATTTGAAGAAGACAAAGGTTTCTTCCCATATTTTAATAAAAAGAACCTTGGGGGGGGGAAATTTTTTTTTTTTTAACCTCATCATGTTTGTCTTTTAATTGAATTCAAATTTTTTGAAAATTTCTTAATGTCAACATGCTTTAAATGATTCATATCCTGTTATGTCTAACAGTAATGTATGACTGCTGGGCTAGGATCTGTCACTCAACACAATTGCTTAGATTTATTGTTTCGTAGTGACGTTTCCTATTCATCTAAAGTGATTTGTCTGAAGTTGAATAGCTCACAAAGAAAGGACAGGAGTCCAGATTAAATTATATTTTTGTGTGTATTTTCTATTTTGTACTACTTTATGCAGCTCCCTTAGAACTTAGAAGCCTTTGGTATGTGTTTTTTAAGATGACTTCTGATTCAATTGCACAGCGACTTATCAGATAATACAGAGCTTGGGACTTAAATGTGGGCAAATATTTGCTCTGTGCTTTGAATTTTATTAATTCATATGAAATATTTTGTCTTTTTATTATCTGCTTTCCAATAAATACTATCTAATGATTAATTTGGACTGCATAGTACATATTGCTCGACTTGATCAGGGAAGTCTTAGCAGGATCCTATGAGAAGACTTCCTTGGAGGATAAAGCAGCTCCTTGGAAGAGGGCTGAGGTATTTTCAGACAGCCTTCCTGCAGCACAAGAGTAGTCCATTCCCCAAAGCAGGAAAAGAAGTAGGCTTACAAATAAACAGTCTCATTTAAACATGCTACTGAGAGAGCTCAAGTGCAAAAATAAGCATGTGAGGGATGGAAAGGGGACAGACCAGTTCCCAACTTCTTGGGGTATTCTTGGGTACTTCTGCAGAGATGGAGTTAGGAATGCAAAGGCAAGCCTGGCGCTCAAAGTGGCAGGAGATGTCGAGAATAACAACAAAGGCTTTTGTAAGTTAGTGGTAAGAAGAAGTTCAAGGATGAAGGATGAGGTCATCTGCCTTTATTTTAGCAAGGTGTTTGTCACAGTCTACCACAACATCTTTTGTTGAAAAAGTAAGGTATGGACTAGACAGATGAACCAGAAGATAGGACAAAAAATGGCTAAATAGCTGAAATGGTGGTGGTTAAAGTCAGACTGGTTGTCATTCTATCTGGAATTGAGTGATCCCAGGCACCAGTACAGGGTGAGATCTAGCTATGTGATCCTCCTTGAATCCAGTATACTCTACATGCTTTTGGTGACACCTGTAATACTATGACAGATTTGGTTCCTGCAGTCCAAGATAGAGATTAAAAACCAGGCAAGAGCCTGTGAAAGGCCACCATGATGTTTAAAGGTTGGAGAATATAAATATTCTAGCAAAAAGAAGGCTCAGATGGGATCTAGTTGCATTCTTTGAATACCTACAAGGTGTTACAGGGAAAGTAGAGGTATAATCTTGACAAGGATGCATGGTGACAGGATAACGACCAATGGGCACTAGTTGCTTCAGAGGAAATTCCATTCAGATACAAGAAGAAAACTCATCACTGCAGGAACAACTGAACATTGGAACAGGTCGCTCAAGAGGAGTGGTAGAAGCTCCCTCAATGGAAATATTCAAGACTGGCCTTGACAGGCTTCTGCAATAACCAAGTCCTTGCGTTCAACAGAAGATTGGACCAAATGATCTCCAAAGGTCCCTTCCAACTTGGACTTTTCTATTTCACATGGATGAATCAGATTTTTGATTTTTCAAAACTGTACGCACTTAATTAGGAGAACATGAAAAATGTAATAGGGCTCCACCACTAACAGAAGCTAACAAATACTTGCTATGAGATCAAGCACTGCTTGAGTAATGCTGGCAAGGGGAAGATTTGGAAGCTTGTTTCTCAGAGTTTCCACTGATGTCTCTAAAATAAAAAGGTTCTCTAGCTATTGAGGTTTCTGGTTTCACTTAACTGTAAAATAAAGGACAGTTGTCTTAAAAACATAAGGTATTAGGTGAGAGACAATGTAGAATAATGTTATTTAAATTAAAATATCATTTACAGGATTTGCAACTTCGTAAATGAAATTGGGCACTATTTAAACACATAGTAAGAATCAGTCTTTATTCCAGGAATTGACATCCTAAATACAGAATTTGTAATGAAACATATAAGCATTGTGTAATAAAGTCATTTTGGTGGTTGCACAGCATTTTTTCATCTGTATCATGTGCATTAGTGTTTTCTCAACCCAAAGTGACCAATTTATACTCATTTAATCCAAGTCAATTCTCAGTAATGAGGCAAGTACGCTGGTCGCACTAGACTGCAGTTATTTTCTTGTAAAAAGTATAAGAATTCGGTGTCTCGTATTCCTCACTGTTGAAAATGTGTGTCCTACTGGTAGGATTTATAGTCTTTTTCGGGTTACTCACTAGCCTGCTTGGTGTGTTTGCTGGGCTATTCAGTATGTCGGAGTTTTACTGTTGTTGCAGTGTCTCATTAAGTTAATTTACAAAACTTAGGGTAATGCTGGGTTGTTTTTTTTCCTTAAGGGTTATTTTTTTTAATCTGCTTTTGCCTTAAAAGAAGCATTTCATTGCAAATCATACTGTTTTTAAGCATGCCGAAGTTCTGAAGCCTGCCCTTCAGTTTGTTTGGTAGACTGGATACATACTTTAGTTCTTCTATGGACCAGGATGACCTTCTGCATGGGGTGCTGTATGGACAAATCTCTTTTGTAACATGCACAAGGAAGACAAAGTGAAATGTCAGTTTTGCCTGGATAAACTGTTTGCCTGGTTTTGATAGAAACATGCCAAAGTCGTAACATCAGACAACAGTGAAATGAGCCAACTTTAAAGGAACAGAGTTCTTACTGTTGTCTTTCTTCAAATTCACGGGGTATTGTACTCCAGTTTCTCACAGTATGAAAAAGGATTTTAGTGTTTACCTTCTACAGCTTCTCCACTTCTTTTCCCTTAAAAAAGAAACTGCATTCTCTTTATATCAGCAGTCACATTCTGGTACGAGTTGGAATTTTTTCTGCCTCAGTTTCAGAGTGATTATAGAACTAGTTCTTGGAGATATATTCCAGTTTTTGAGGGAGAAATTAGTACAGTGGATGTAAGGGTAGCTTTTACAAGTTATTACTAGCATGATTTGCTCATTCTATATGAGACTCAGAAGATAACTAGTAAGGTTATTTAGTTCATATTTGTCCAGCAAATTTCTGTGTAAATCATACTGGAAATGAGCATGTTGGTCTCTAGTGTTGAAATCCCTCACTTATTTGTGAGAAGAACACACTGTTCAGAACTAGCAAGTTTAAGTACACTTGCAAGTAGAGAGGACTCTCAAGGGTTTTTGCAAAGTGCTGTTGTATAATGCAGTATGTGTAGCTTAAGTTTTCGTAAAAGTGGATGCAATTTTCTAGTAATAACACTTCTCGAAAGAATATTTCTTTTAAAAGAAAAGCATTTGATTATGTACAAAATGGCATTGCTGATTTTCTTCCTAATGCTTTATTTATTAAAAAACAGACTGTGATATCCTCATTTTATCCCATGAAAGTTTGTCTCCTTACACTGTTTTCAGTTATTGTAAAGGAGCATATGTAAACTATGCTTGGGTAGGAACATTAAGTGGAGGTTTTTAGTCAAAACATTTACAGTTCTAAATGATGGATAGAACTTCTCAACTGTAGAAATACAGCTTACTTTTATTTACACAACCCCAGTCTACTCCTTAGAAAAGAAAGGGATGGAGAAGATGGGGGAAGGGTGAGATGCAGCTAAACCATGAAGTGTTTCTGAAAAGATTTATTAGCCACTGTCACAGCTTAGTTAAGATTTCTGAGAGGGGTGAGTTCCATGCTTAAGAAATTACACCAGAGGCACAGTTGCCCTTTAAAGGAGAAGTTGGGTAACGGTGCAGCGAGCACTATGAACATTAGAGAGGTCTTGAATAGAACCAGGCTTACTTGGGAGAAGACAATGCTCAGAACTACCTATTTGTTCTTACTGAATTTTGCATGAAGATTGCTTGTTATGATGCTGGTATGATTCAGAATTGGTGGTGAACTTTTGCATGCATCCACTTTTCAGTATACTAAATGCATAACCTTGTCCCCTTACTGTATCTACTTTTGTACCAGTAAGCGTGTAGATAAATTATAGGAGAGAATAGTAATACCGGGTGTTTGGACAGAATAGCACCAGCTGAGTTTCTCCAAATATATTCTGTATGTCCTTTCTTTCCAATAGGTCAGAGGTATATTACTTCCTCTGTAGTACTTTGGCTAAGTTTAAGTATTTTGGGAAGCTTAAGTAATGTAATAGAAATTGAGTGTATAAATCGTTGTAAGAGCAAATACATTGTTTTTCCTATTGCTCCTTGGACATACATTTGCCTGCATACTTGTACAAAGGGAAGAAAGAAATACTAGTCATATGGCTAGCAATGACTTTTGATATCCCAGTCTTCTATTAAACCTAGTTATCTATGGAGCAAAAGAGGCAGATATAGGTAATATGAAAATGTGTATATAGTGACCCTTGGTGTGAGTGAGGTGTGTTACTACCACTACATTCTTTCACAAATACCTTTTTTTCTCATTCCATTCCAGCTGCAAAATTATTGTGGCTTCATTACATTTCCATCACTTTCTGAAATGATAAGAAGGGCCAGGCACCATGTCCATCACTGCTTACAGGGGCTGGAATGTGGGAGGCACTGGCCTCTACAAGTGTCTGCTTGGGGTGGTGTGGGATTTGGTGCCAAATTTGGCTGTACACATTTGAGGCTAAAAAGCTTCGCAACCACCCTTGTTCCAGGATGAGGAGGTTGTACGGTGTTGAAGGTGGAACTCCTGCATATGTTGTGGAAGTTACGACAGTTCACTGGTGTTTCTGCACAAGCATGGCTAATTACTTTAGTGATTCTAACATGAATTTTAATTTAAGTGTAACTGATAAAGCACTGGTTGTCACTGGCAGTTGGTATGACACATGAACACCCAGATGTATATTTCAAAACTTTATCAGATTTATCTTAATAACATTATTTTAATCTTCTTCCCGTCTGTTTAAAGTACTATTTTCACATTACAGCCTTTGTTAGGATTTGAAAGCTCTTAATATTCATATGTTGAATAATTCCTGAGAAAATCTGTTCAACACTTGAACCTTAACTGGAACATTTAGTACTTTCTCAAAATCTCTCTTTGCAAATCATTTGTTTCTTTGAATGCGAAGGGCAGTAGAAAGGCTTATAAAAATCTTCTAGTAGCATTTGTGCTCTTATGCCGGGAACATTATTTCCCCCCTACACACATACTCTTTCTGTGCAGGAGGGAACTCTGGTGGCATCTGTTTAACTGAGCGAGTATGCACAGAACTCTGCCAGCCAAGTCAGCTGAGGGAGCCTGTGCGAAGCAGATGAGGGCGCAGACCTTTGAACAGAGAAGCAGTGTCTTTGTGCAGAACAGAGGGGCTGCAGCCTGGAGAAGCAGCTACCAAAGAGGAGAAAAATAGAGCTTCCCAACAGCAGGGAGAAAAATGATTTAACAGTAAAAAAAAAAAACTAATTTGAGCGTAATACTATGTTTGACATCTTCATCTACATAAATTCAGATGCTGAATACTATTTTTTTTTAACTGTTTGGGATCCGTGAATAAGAAATCATAAAAGCGTAAAGTGATTTTTGTTGTGTGAGGTTTTAATCTAGAAACTGACTTGTTTAAGAACTGTTCAAGCATACAAGTATTTTTAATTAGGAGTGGAGTGCTATGTGCATACCCTCTGCTGTTCTTAAAACAACATTTCAACTTGTGCTTCGTTTTTTTTCTCCTTAAAGCCCTGAGTCCTGCTTTGCTGCAAAAGCTTTGAGTTGCTTGCTTTGGCATTAGAGTGATGGGTAGAAGAATTGTGTGAACACTTTGGACGATGTGGCTCCTTACAGTGCAGTAAAGTGCCTAAGGGATCTGTCATACCTGACATCGAGGTGGGACGAAACAAATGACTGAGTATGCCCAGGGTAGCTCAGAGGGTGTTTTTATCACTATCGCAGCTCATTCATTCTGGTATTCTATTGAGATCTAACAGGAGCTGCCAAACACTGTTTCACAGATGTCTTGTGCTAGTATCTTTTCTCTTGTGAATAATTTTCTTTATAGTTTTGATTGTGTACAACCAAATACTTCAGCTTTTGGTCTTTAATATTTCCCTTACTGTAGAATGTGTATTTGTTCAGTGGTAGCTTTCTAAATGATAAGCATCTTATTCCATGGATATTGACACAGTCGACAATTCTGTTGTCAGTGATGTTTTTGAAAGGATTGTCAGTGAAACAAATTTTCAGGTGTATTTATGCTATCTCTGGTCCTCGATATGGGCTGGTTAATTGAAGCACAGAGAAGTTCTCTGAAGATGACCTCACATCCAGTTGCTGTGTCGATCCTTCTAGCCAGAAATGAATGTCACTGCTGGATTTTATTATACTGTCGAGTAGACAAATGATAGGGATCAGAATTACTACAGAAATAGGCAGCTGTGTCTAGTGCCAAAATACAATCCTTTATTGCTGGGATCCTGAATGCTATCATTCTAATAGATGTGGAAATACAAAGTTTCTTTAGCAGAAGGCAAACTGCAGTTAAGAAGGCAGGCAAAATTTACAACCACTGTCTTTTTGAGACACAGAATGTATTTTTAAAACAATTTAAAATGCAATTGAACTGCTGTATCATAGAACTATGAAGTCTTCAGCAAGTAGCCTTTGTCCATTTTTTAAATGGTTTTGATTATTTGTGAATTAAGGAAAAAAAATATTTTTTTTGCTGCAATAATAAGGACGTAATACCTAGTGATGTGTAATGGCAATTATAACACAGTGGTACTTTCCAAGATAAGTTTTGAAAGCTGGCATTCAAAAAATTTCTATAAAAGTTCAAGTATTTCAAGTAGGGAAAAAAATAATCCTAATAATTATGTGTATAGCCCAGTTAGGACTGCTGTTGAAGGAATGGAGAAGGAAACATTGTGTCATGTCATTTCAGTGGGGTGTAGTTGAAGCTTCTTTCCACAATGATTTTTAGCTACTTTTAGAAAAGAATTTATTTGGGCTTTGTAGAAGCTATCCTTTGGGCATAAAAGAATTCAAATTCTCTTTTATAGTATATGTAATAACTTATTTTCTTTTACTGCTGTTTCTTGCACCTCTGTGAATATATTCAATTACTCTAGAAAAATCTTGGAGGAATTAAGATGAGAAACAGAATACATTTGGTAATAGGTGTATATTCTCTCTTTCCCAAATGTATATTATAAATACTTTTGGAGAATAATTACTAGAGCTATTTTGCTGTTTTTCTTTGCTAATAATCTTCTTCCTCCCCTGTCTCCCTTCTTAGGCCCCTCTGGGATTTGTACGGAAAGGTTCTCTGCCGCTCAGTGACACTGCTTCCGTGAACTCCTCTCTACGGAGGATGAAGCGCAAAGCACCCTCACCACCCTCTAGAGCACCAGAAGATCAAAGTGAAAGGAGTAATGAGACCGGTAATCCTTTTATGCTGTTTGAGTGGGAGGCAAGACAAAGTATGGCAATTTGGCTAAACGTTAAAGAAATACCGCCTTATGAGATAAGAACTTCAGTAGAAACATGAGTGTCAAACATCTTCAGATTGTAAGGAGCGGTAACGCTGCTTTATGAGATTGGCTCATGTGGTGTGTGTGAGCCCGCACAGGCAGGGTGCAGGACCAACCACAAAACCACAGATGAAATGCAAAGAGTAAATTTATTTTCGTTACCTCGCCAACCAGGGGATCCTTGAAGCGGCACCGAGGCAGAGGCACACAAGCGAGGACACAGGCACTGCGGAGCTCAGTCCACGCGAGAGGATCACCGAACCTGCTGCTTTCGCCTCTGTATCGGGGATTCATGCAGGCGTAGTTTACCACTGTGCTTTGATTTTTTCCCACAGCAGGGCAGGAATCTTAAGCATATTCGATTGCGTGCCTTGAAGTCTATCACAGGCTTATGTTATCTAAACACAGATGTTCTACTTGTCAAACACACAAGATTAAGCAACGATTAGTATGATGTATGGGTTTTTCCACACCCCGGCTGCAAGTCACTTGAGTGTGTTTACAACCGTCCTTGCCAGTCTTCCATTATTTTCCCACAAGTGTAAGAAAGTAGGCAGGTTTTAGGGCACACAGTTCAGAAAAAAGGCAGAAAATACCAAATTAAATTTAATTGGGTTAACTATAGTAGTTGTGTTTGTGTTAATCAGATGGACAGCTTGGGGTGGGGAGAAAAGATTAGCTTCTTGGGATCAGAGAGGATTTAATAGGAAATGGACCGAGAAGGAGAATTTTAGAGTAAGTTTTGTATTGTTCTTTTGTAATTCTCCTGTTTGATCAAACATTCAATTCTCTGGTTCAAAAATACCAACTAAGAGTTGAGATTAAAATATCTGGGAAATGTGACAATGAACACCAGTTGCTTAACAGAAGGTACATTTCTTGAACTCGCCAGTCTGTAAAATCACAATTTAACATTTTATCTAGAACTTTTGTCGGTGCAGAAATTGAGAGGCAATAAAAAATAAAAAACCTTGTTACTTGACCTTTTGCAGTAGCAGAGTCGACAGAATCAGCCCCTACTAAAGTGGAGGAGCGAGCCACCGCTGAAATGCAGCCTGAAACAGGTTGGTTCTTTTTCTAAATGCATTGATAAAATCTACTTCATAGCAAGCTATGATAATTCATAGTAAGAAATTACTATGGATGTGTCATAAGTGTAGAACTAATTTTAACACTTCAGGTCAATTAACTTTTCTTTTGAAGTACAAATACGGCTTTCTAAAATAAAGATATTTTACCTTTACTGTCTATCAAAACACATACGATGTATTTTGTATTGGTCTCTGTGCTTTACATTTAATAAACTAAACTTTATCCCTGTTTCTCCTCCTCCCCTGCAAGTTGTAGACAAGAACAAGACAGAACTTCTGTGATTTTTTTTTTCTTTTTTTTTTTTTCTTGTATGCCTCCTAAGAAGTCTTTCAAAAGCTAAAGCCCAGTCTTGTTTTCAGAACCCTGCCTTGTGCTGCCCTTGACCTGCGTAACCTAGGGGTAGGAGGAAATCTGTGCCTGCCTTTTGGTTTGCATCTGAACAGCCCTTGAAAACATAAGTTGCAAATATAAACTGTATGCATAAATAGTTGTTTATACATTAAATCATTTGTTGGGTGCTGTGGAGAAAGTGTGATATATAAAATTACAGCTGTTTAAAAATACAATTCTTCAGCTGCTGAATGTAATACTTTTTTAATTTATGCAGTTCATACTGTTAAGTACTGTCGTTGGTAAGCATCACACTGTAGGGTTCAAATATAAGATACGGCAGTTAGGAGTCTTCTAAAATTTGTAAAAGCTTTTAGAATAATCAGTGCCAGTGCAGTCTGGAAAAAAATCACTCTTGAATGTATTTCACTAAGAATGAAATCTATAAACTCGAAGCGTGTGAAGTGCCACTGGCATTATATGAGGCTAAACGCTCAGTTTCTGTGCTAGTTGGTAGGAACTCTTGGGTAGTTTTCCAGCTGTTTTCCATTTTTCCATCCCATTTTATTTGGGATACCAATTAAATTAGTTGGAGTGTACCACAAGAAGAGTTGAAAAAGTCACCTGCCATCTTAGGTCTGTGGCAATGGGCGGGAAAAAAAAAAGGTCAGTAATCAGTAAATTTGGGCTTGGTTTGTGTTTAGGGCAATTTATGCAAATTGTCAGAAAAGACCGTTAATAGAAATAATACATTAACTTAATAAATGGGAAGTAGGAACCCATGCCGTGCGGTTTGAGGTTGAGGATGTAATGAAGCTGGAACCTTTCCTTTTCCTAGTTGTTGTAGCAGAAGGAGGGTAGTTACTTCTAAGTGAGTGGCTGTTAATGATGTTTATTAGTAATTAATTTTCTGTGTTGAAAACTGCGTTTATCTACATGTGATGAGTCTAAGATGATGAGCAATGTTGTTATACTGTGATTTAAAATTAAGTTTTTTGGTTTTCTTGGTCTTGATTCTGTCTTAAGACTATAGATCCATGCTAGAATTTCTGCATTTCCCATCACTGTAATGTCCAAGTGCTGCATAGATAAAAAGCCCTGAACTTCATAGAAATGGTTTGTTTGCTTTTTCATAGATTTAGGAACCTCTGCTTGAGGCATTGTAATTAAATATTTTAATTTAAGCTGTAATGTAAAGAAATATAAAAATATAATCATCTTCACTGGGCTTGGAACAGTCTGTGTTGAGCCCTGGGGTGTACCTCTGCAGTTAGTGACAGCATTCATTCCCTAGTTCTGCTGCTGATTTCTTCATGCAGTGTCCTTTGCTGAAGACTTAATGCAATGCAGTTCTTTTGAACTGTAGAGACAAGTCATATAGCACAGCTTCGTTGCCTTTTTTTTTTTTTCTTATGGGATACTGCTGCTCTCTGGTGGCATCTCTGAAACTGTCCTGAGGTCTACATATAAAGAGTCCTTTTAGCAAAGCCCATCATGTTGTGAGAACCAGTATTCACCTGCAGCAAAATCAGTTGCAGTACACTTGTCCTATTCCTGGTCTGAAAATTATGCACATTAGGGTATTGTTTTAAATGGATAAAATAGTTCAATATCTCCTTAGTTGTTAAGTCGAACATAATTTTGACTTTACATAAACTTGGTAGTTCCTTCGATTTGGATTAATACTGCTTTGATTGTCAGGCTTCTGGAAGCATTGTGACTGGCATTCCCAAAGCAGTTCTGTTATGCATTGCTACTTTAGGGAGTAAGCAAAAAAGTTAAGCTGCAAATATAGTGTTTCCTTCTGCCCTAGAATGAACCATTACAAATGTTCCATTTGGTGTCTAAGTAGTGTATAGCTAATAGACACATATACCTTAAGTGGAACTATGCTGTATTATTTGGAATAGGCAACATTTCTATTGTGAAATGACAGTTTTCCCATGGTGTGAAAACAGCCTGTACCTTGACAAAAGTAGTTTGAAGGCATACATCTACTAGAATAAACACTGACAGAGAATGAATTTGAACATTTGGGATTATAAACATTTTTTTTTCTCAATTATGATTTTTGTTCCCTTTCCCAAAGTTTAATTAATGCTTAGTCTTTTTTTCTAGGGAAGAGGATGAAATGGTGTTTAAAAAAAAAATAAATTAAAATTACAGATTTTTAAATGATTTCCCATCAAAGAAATCCCTTGATATAATCTTGGTTATAGTACCTCTTAAGAACCTTGTTAAGGACTATAGTCAAGAGCAAAACCACTGGCAGATTTGCATGGTAGAGTCGGGCTTTCCAGCTTTGGTGCTTACAAGCATAACGGCTCACAGAGTGGTGTTGGCCCGTTCTGCGTTGTGCAAAGAGTATTCTTGCTGACTCAAAGGAGACTCGCAGTTGGTATGTCAGTCATCTTACCAGGTGTGTCTTCACAATGTCATCCTGTAGGATTTAACAATGTTCTTTTAGGGCTAATTAAAACTCAATGACAAATGTTCATAGAGAATAGATTATACACAGGCAAAAATGCAATTTATATTATGTGTGGACTTACATACAGAGTATATAAGCAATGAGGCAACAGTATGTAGCCAGTATTGCCAGAAGTACTTCCCAGCGATAGGTTGCATATGAAAACTCTAAAGTTTGGAAAAAAGTCATAAAATCCGAACTGTTCCTCTGAGGAGTTAACTGCACGATGTAGGTAGGCAGTGTAAGAAGGATGGCTGTTAAATGTTGTTTATGTATCGAATGCATTCAGACTTTATTCTGCTGCAGCAGTAGTTGCCCAGGTCTGGAATGAGATCCAGTAAAAGATGAAAAACGACTACTTGAAATTAACTCCAAGCAAGGCTGATATAATGCTGACAAATGAAGTAGAGCACTTTGGAAAAAGCATGAGGGTTGTTTTTGTTTGGTATTGTACATTTGTAGGTCAGGTTAGTCCACTCCAAAGCTTGGAAGTGTTCCTAGCACAGCAAAGGACAGATTTTTAATGTCTCCTACCAACCCAAGCTAAGTTTCCTTCCCATCAGTATAGGTACAACTCAGCCTTTGTTATACTTCTCTCCAGAGGAAAAGCAACAAAGATGACAGCAGTGCCTGGGCACAAAGCCACAGCAACTCTAGAATGCTTCCATTTGTCTTGTCAGGAGCCCTGGCTGGGCTTTGTTCTGTAATTTGGCTTCCACAGAGTATTTAGACTTAAGGTCTTGGTCTTTGTTCCTGTGGCTGGTAGTGGCTCAGGCCCCTGGCATAATAGTTCTCATTGGTGAAGGAGAAAATGTTCTTGAGAGCTGGTTATGGGCTTTGGAATAGTCTCAGTAGGTTTGATGTTTGCCTATGTTCTGTTATGCTTTGTTTCTGCCCGGTGACGTATATGTATCTCTTAGCACACATAAAATCATACTGCTATCACTAAAATCACCTCCCAAAGTATGAGGCTGCTGTCATGACTTTTCTGTAGATGAAGATGAAAGGGTTTGGTGGAGGTGAGGGGAAGGAAGAGAAGGCCCTTACTGAGAGTAAATTCTTAAGAAGTCCCTTTAATACCAGCATGGCATATTTGTATGTACCTGTGCTTAAATCACATGGAAGGAGCTCACCTACACCGCTTTGCAGTCTTTTTTCCCTGGGGATCAAAGTCACCTCTGCACTCAGCCCTATGACACATGTTGATCACATTGCTTAATGTGAAACTACAAAGCATTATTACAAGAATGCAATACAAAAAGCTAGAATTAAATAGTAAAATGTTTGGCTTTTGTAGTTGCTTTGTAACTGTGAGTGAGTAACTTCAGTATTATTGAACTCTTAACTAATGAGCCTATTGGAAAAATCAGAGTTTCTGTTCCATACTGAGACTTTCTCCAATATATGCAGTTCGCTATTATGTTTCTGTAACTGTACTTCTCTAGAAGTACTGGAAGCATTGAAGGATACCAGTCTGGACAAAAACTCAGTCTAAGATTTTTCGTACTCTGGTATCTGCTACATTCCAGTATTGCTTGCTTTAGGCCAGTATTTTGTTTTCGTTGTTAGTCTTGGTTTACACTTGGCAATCTACTGATACAACTTAGAAAAGTCTGAAACCTAATTGCCCAAATGCAGGGGCTGTACCTAACAGGTACTGGTGCATGCAAAGCTGACAGGAACACCGTGGTCGGGTCAGGAGAGTGCACTGCTTGTATGGCTCAGTTGTTGCCAGTAGCCTTCCGTGGCACCATATTGCACTATATAGAGGGAATTACTGTCGTCTTTGCGTTAACAGAATCAAGTTGCAAAGCCAAGAGGTTAATTGTATGGTCTACTCACTAATATTTGAAAAACGTGAATCATCTTGTTGTAGGAAGATTGCTGGCAGGGAAATAAAGCTAGAGATGGTTAATCCCTCTGGAAATCAAAATAAGTGGATTTATTAGTTTAACATCAGGTGCACTGACTGTGTGTCCTAATCCAGTAACTAAACCTTTGAGTTTAACTATGCTGTAGCTGAAAACTTCATTACTTTTACAGATTAAGACTTTTCTATGTACTTTATTTTTGTGCATTTCTAGTGTAATACAGGGAATGTACAAGACACTTCTAACTATGTTTTGATACACATAGGATAATTATGGGAAATTTTTGATAATGTGATTAAAATTGTTAAAAGCAGGGGCAAAAATGAGATTTTGTTTGCTCTTTAGTTCTCTAACATACCTACTCTGATATAAAGGAACCATGTATTTTAAACCTCCTTGGAGAGCTAGTGGAAGTATTAAGAAGTCTGTGTGAAATAAATTGTCTGCCTCCATGAAATCTGGGATTATGATATTGTTAAATATATTTTGATCTATCCTAATCTGGTACTTGGGTTAAACAAGGAAAATGTTATACAGTAGTTACAGATGCAGAAACAGACGGGCAGTAGCATGGTGATGAGCATATTCTTATGTGTAAAAAGAGAGAATTGGAAAGAACCAGAAAATACTGTGAAGTTAAAACTGAATTAGTCTTTTTTTTTTTTTTTTTGACCTGAATTACGAAAAGAAGTCTGTTTTCCTTCTTCAAACTACTTAGGCTGACTTCACCAGTCCCTTTGCATCTACTCCCTGCATTGAGAGCTCTGGGTTGTTTCGGGGTTTTTTTGATTTGGTTTTGTTTTGGTTTTGTGCGGGTGTAGGTGTAAGGAGCTCAGAATACGACCTGGAAGAAATTGATGAAAGGGAAGAAATGAGTGTCCAACTGAGAGAGGACAGTGAAAGTACAAATACCTCTCTTGGGACAGGAGTGGTTACTGCAGCCTTCAGCTCTGCTGAGGTGCCACTGGAAACTGAAAAAAATGATCCTGCTTCATCAGCTCCAGTTCCTGGCAGTATTTCTGTAGACAACTCACAAAGCTTCAAGAAAGAAAAACAAGAAAATATGAGCACAGATGGCAAGTAAGTACGTTTTGTGACAAAGAAAGGAGCATTGCAGAGGATGATGGGGGAGGCAAATAAAACATAGAGTGCTGTTTCATTGTGGAGCACAGAATAGAGAATTGTGAGAGAGGAATAAGCTTAATGTGCTTAGCTTTCATTGTAGCACTCTTCTGTGCACTGTAATTCATGAAGCTTTTCAACAAAAATGACAAAGTAGTGTTCTGTGGGCTGGTTGTGTTTGATCCTCCCTTTTCTGACTACTCCAGCTGGACCTCAGAAAAGCTGAACCTGGCTCTAAAATACACAGCATGTTTACTAGAGCAGTGTGCTGCAAAAAAAATCGGATGGACTAGTTAATTGAAAATTTACAAATTCATTCTTACAATGGGGGGAAGAACAGGTAGATTGGCCATTTCTGTTGTTCTGGGCACAGTTATCTATTGCTTGCAGATTTGTTTTGGTTTTAATTTTTCTTTTGTATTTTCCTTATATGTTAGTCAGTTGTCTTGACCTGTCTTGATCCATCTGCTCTCGAGTAAACAAGTTAATTTTGCCT